TACGGAAATCTTAGATCTGTGTCGATTCCAACGTGTCTTTTTTTTTATTATCAACCTTTTATTCAGCTTCAATGTCCCTTTAAATCACCCACAAAGCCTCCATATTACATATAGCAGTCAATAAGCCATGTGTCTTTTCTCGGGGGTCTTTGCCCACTTTGCCATGCCCTGAGTTAAACCAAAACAAACATGGTGTTCCCAAGTCTTCCATTAACACACATGGTATCTACCTACCTAAACTCACCAAATCCCCTTCTCTGTATGCAGAGCAATCACCGTTTCAGTCCGGTCCGTGCACTTCAGTTATAAATATTCTGTACTAGATGCATTCCGTCAATTTATTATGCCTGTTTAATTCCCTTTCTCCCTATAAATGTTGCAATCTCGGTGGAAGCATATTTATTTCGTAGTTAATCTTGTCCATTTATCTCAGTGAAAGGCTCCTGGCCTTCTCCCTCCCCGTATTAATGTTTAGAAATGTTATTTTCGGAGTCTTGCGGTGGGAGGGGGAACCATTTACTCTGACTGGCGTTGACAATTTGCTGTAATGGCCAAGCACTGAAAGGGTCGGAGGTGAAATCTTTTCTACTTAGAATTGAGAGTTAAAGGAAATTATAAACCATCCAAGGAGTGGGAGTTAATTAATTAAAGAAATAATATGTAGTCCTGAGCTGCTGCTCGCAATTTCCTGGTATTTATTAACATATTTTGAAAGCCAATCAGTACGGTTGCTTTCATGTCAGACCTTCTGAGTCAGCTGTTTATATGTTTTTGGTTTCAAGCAATACACAATATAAATAGGGGTGTGATGGTCCGTTATATATCAGCTGCTTTAGAAGATGTTTATTTCTGTTTTGTGATACGAAAAAAAGTGAGAAAAGGAGCCAGTATCAAGGCCATGTTCTTCTTAGATTCAGTTACATCGCTCCTCACTGCATTTGAAGACATGTCTTAGGAATTAAGGTGGTACAGAGGTGGAGGGACCTTGACACCATTGTGCATCCATCGCCAACATGCTATGTGTGCTGACAACATAGCCAGAAAGGCTGTTCTGGTCCGGCTAATTATGTTGCAGTGCTTGACCTATATCTCAGAAGCTTCATCAGATGTCTGCACATGTGTGGAGTTTCATATTAAAATGAGTCACGCAAGACTCCGTCAATAGGGTTAATAGAAAATATCAGGCATTGACACTGAATTCCTTGGCTCAGACTCCCGATGCCAACTCCGGACATTGTACTCTAGCTTTAGCAATGTAAGGCTGAACATGAATCAGGTAACATAACTAGTTTTAATGGGATATTACTAAATATGCAATTTGCAAATCTTGTTGAAATTTGGTTATTTTAAGCACGTTTTGTTCATCTGGCTGAAATTCAGACTTTGCGAAAAACCTTGACATTGTGGCAGTATTACCGACTTCTTGCAAAATCCTTTTCTAAACCGTGAGTGAACTGTTTGGTTTCATCGGTGCTAAGTAGGTTTATATGCAGGTTATTTGACAGGCTAAAGTCTCAAACCATGAGGTTTCAGGTCATATCACCTTGTTGGTTTTGCTATAGTTTACTTCTATCATGGCTTTTGGCTTCCATTGGTTTAATTTATTTTTATTGAGTGGAGAATTCTAAAGAACCTATCTTGAAGTGGATGGATTATCTTAACTGGCGTTTATGCAAGAACTATGGAGGACCAAAACCCATTTAGAGAAAGCCCAGCAGCTAACGAGCCAGATTCACATAAAAAAAACCCCACACAAAATGGCATCCAACTATGCATTACCCCCAACCCACCACGTCCACTAAACTACGTGACTGAATGTACCAGAGACTCTATTGTATGACATCAATCAATCAATAGGTATGTTTCCAAGCCAATGCTTTAAAATTCTATAGGTCACTGTAAATTGAAGATTTTAACACCGTGGGATAACAGATAATAGCAAGCATCCATTAATGGTATCGGCACCTCAGGTCCCTGAGTCCTCCACCTAATAACTCCTCGATATTTAGTCTGTGCAGTTCCCCCGCTGTTTTGCTGTACAGGAGCCTAAGAAGGACATCATTCAACGACTGCAAAGAGCGACTAGTATATTTTCAAAGTGACAAAAACCTATTAGTATGTCTGGAAGTACGAGGAACAAGAAACAAATTCAGGCGGCATCCAAAGTATCATTCTTACCAAGGACAAGTCATAGAACATTTCTAATCAAACCATATTCATTTCACAAGCTGAAAATATTACTTTTACGGGAAAGCTAAATAAGAACATCAATTTTTACAGTATGAGGGGCAGGAAACCCATTCAATTAATTCATTCCGATATTCAGCTTATATAAATATTTTTTCAACATAATATTTTGAAAAAAGTATTTTTTCTCCAATTCCTGTCCTTGTTTGAAATGAATTAGGGTTGAACTTGGCCGGATGGCTCTGTATGCAGCATGGGCAAGGCTGTGGGTTCAAAGTTAGAGGAGACCCGATCTGGGAGTGACTCCTCATAATGTGATGCTATGACACGGTGCTACATCGCTGGACTAGTTATAGCTGTTTCCACCGATCTGTCCTTTGGCACATCCTCAGCAAAAAATCCGTGCACATGTACAGCAAGCATAAGGATTCTTTACAGAAATGATAATACTAATAAACATAGAATGTGACAGCAGATAAGAACCATTCGACCCATCTAATCTTCCCAATTTTCTAAATACTTTCATTAGTCCCTGGCCTTATCCTTTAGTTAGGATAGCCTTATGCCTATCCCATGCATGTTTAATCTCCTTCACTGTATTAACCTCTACCACTTCAGCTGGATGGCTATTCCATGCATCCACTACCCTCTCAGTAAAGTAATACTTCCTGATATTATTTTTAAACCTTTGTCCCTCTAATTTAAGACTGTGTCCTCTTGTTGTGGTAGTTTTTATTCTTTTAAATATAGTCTCCTCCTTTACTGTGTTGATTCCCTTTATGTATTTTAAATGTTTCTATCATATCCCCCCTGTCTCGTCTTTCCTCCAAGCTATACATGTTAAGATCCTTTAACCTTTCCTGGTAAGTTTTATCCCGCAATCCATGAACCAGTTTAGTAGTGTGACGAAAGCAACTTCGCCACTGGTTTTTGGAGAGGACCAATGGCCAGCCTTTTACCTTGTGTCTATGGCCCCTGCAACAGTACTGGTTAATATACTTTAAACAGGATCTTTTCGTGCAATAGGGACTATATGGTTCGCTTACCGAACAACCGCACGAACAGAGACCATCCTGGAGCCTGTTAACACCTATTAACAACTTGGAACGTTTCTCACCACAGTGTTCTAATTGTTCGTCTGGGTGGCCACGATTCCTATGAACGACCACGAGGTGGCGGCCATCTTGTTCGCATGAATGCAGGTGGCAGTGTTTGGGCATGAATCTCCTGGAACTAAAATCAGATACAGAAACTCCCGAACACTGCTGGACTTCCATCACCGCCTGCGTTTGTTTCTATTCAGCTTAGAAGGGCACTGTTCGTGAGATCATTCGTCTGGATGAAGGGAACAAGCTCCAGGGTAAAACTATTGACTCAGTTCGGTAGTTTGTTCGTTCGTTTGCAAGCTACCGAACTACACCGGCCGCAAGCCCTGATTCTATGAAACTGTTTTGGGCATGAAATCATGCATGCGGTCGGTCAAAAGAGGCTTTCTAGGAATTTCCTGAACCCCTGCTCTCATCTGTGTGATTTTTGGATATGTTGTTCACCCAGATCAGGGCTATCAGGGGACGTTTATGGGCATATGTTATGTTTTGGGGTACTTATTGGATTTTCTATAAAGGTGTGGTTTTTCTGTCTGGGGATAATTACGTTAATACATTATCTTCCTTAATTGTATCACAGGCAGAGGGGAGGGATTGTGTACATTGTTACATGCCTGACACTCCCAAATACAGCACACAATGTTGAAGCAGCGATTAAAAGAGGTACCTGGTCAGGGTACAGTTGGTCCATCACGAGTAGCCCTTCTCTGAACTCTCTCTAAAGTATCAACATCCTTCTGGAGATACGGTCTCCAGTACTGCGTACAATACTCCTCTTATACTATACTAATATTATAGAATTCAGTGCTTGTACATGCTGGGCTACCAAGATCTTTATGTACCTTAAAACTGATGCTTTCTAAAGTAAGGCAGGAAATTCTATCTGCTTAAATTTTTTTTTCCACAAGGACCCAAATTATGTAGATGGCATTAGATCGGTAACATATTTTTCATTTGGAATAAAGAGTTTGTAATCCATTTCTCAACTGTCATAACTTCTACAATAAGCTCCTTTGTTAGGTCGAGAGGTCTCAGTTGTGCTGGAGATGGCAGACTTGCTGTGTAATCCGTTTATTGTGGGCAGTTGCTCGTGGGCGGGAGCAATGTGATATGCCTGTTCTAGCCACTGAGGAGCCACTGAAATGGTAATGGGAGCCAGTGATTAGGAACCACTGCTGTAACAGGTAATGCAAATTAATTTCTACTATGCACTATGCTGTTTTTTTCTCTTATTGCTTCACATTCTAATTCATTCTGCTTTTACATCTATAGTAATGACAGAGATGTATGAACAGCTTTACTGGAGGAATGCTGGTCTGCTGTCAGTGTTTATTAAAATATTACAGTGTCACATCACATTCTGTTAAAGCCACATATATCCTTTTTTCACTGCATGTTTTTTGGACTTGTTGTGGTGTGTGTAATGGAGCTCCCTATACCCCGGGTTAGGTACCTCCACCAAGGACCGCTTCCTAGCTGGAACAGGGGAAAAACTGCAGCACTTCTGCCCCCAGTCACCGTGGCTTGACTAGGGTCCTGGAACCACTCCCTTCTGGAGCCGAATAGGGGACTAGCTCTATCCACTTCCAGGCACTGGACAACACTCAGTCCTGGGAGCTCTAGTCCTTACAAGGACTTTCCCCATTGAATCCTCCACACTGAAACAGTGATTAATGATTAGCCCTTTCCCCTCCCAGTAATCAGACAACACATATTTCTGGGAGTACAAGCTGTAATGTTTTAATCTGGCCAGATGGCCTGCTTTTATACAATTTTAGACACAGTTAAGCACGCCCCTGACACTCCCACACAAACAGGATAATTCCCCTCCTGGACCTAAGAGGGGACTAGTTACAAGTTACAAACTCCCCCTCTGTGCCTGAGAGATAATTGAGTCAGGAACTGAACTAACTCAATTATCTCCAGGCACAGAACGACATACAATATTACAAAACCCCCCAAATACCTTTAAAACCCCCACAAAAGTTACTGATAGCCCGGTTCTGGATGACCAACATATCCAAAAATCACCCAAATCGGTTCAGGGGTTCAGAATTTCCTTGGAAGTCATATTTTGACCGACCGTGCACATGGTCCTATGCCCAAAACAGTTCCATGAAATCAGTGCTAATGGTCGGTCAAGTTCGGTAGTTTAAAAACAAACCAAGCCAGTTAAATAGTCTTTTACAGGTTTCCCTGAAGGGCCCATAGTCTGTGGGCAGGAGGCTGGCAAGCAGGCTCCTCCAGGAGCTCGTGGCACACTCACGTAGGAAGGGGAGTTTGTCACAGTGTGTTTCATGTTTTTGGCGATGTAGATGAAAACACTACTTGTTCACTATTGTATAGTAAATATAGATTTTGATTTTAATACAGTTTTGTTAATAAAGACCTACTGACTTCATGGAAGTCTTTTAACCAGGGTAGAGTCAGTGTCTACGCGCCATTCTCACAGGGAACATAAAATATTTGTTCTGCCCCTCCTGAACTAAATAGCCGTCCTCCTACACCCCTAGAGTGGCTTTTATTTCCCTCAGACTGACGTTAATTCAGTGGTGGTTTTGGTGTACAAGCGTAATTGCGCAAATCACTCACTGCCCTGTCCCCATCTTTAAGAGGTAGTTAGCAATTATATGGCCCATTCAGTTGGATTTACCTACATGGTTCACGTTGTACACATCTTACAGCCACAAACGGTGCTGATCTGTCCGTTGTGCCATTAGTTGTGTAATTCCTATGTTGCTGGACTGACCTCCCTATTAGCTGGCAGTTCTGAATAATGACTTGAAAACAAAATGTCTTTTTGCTAGTGCAACCTTTCAACTATTGATTGGAGAACACAACCCTTCCCTCAGTGCCTCAGCCGCAGATAATCATGTATTGGATTTAGCATGGGGGTGGACAGATAGCTGGATGATACACCAGTGTCATAATTCATCAGCACCTTGCAATTACACACCATCCATCAAGTGAGCAATGCGGCCAGACCTTACCATTCTGTGTAAAAAAAAAGATAAAAAAATAAGTGTGAGAACGCCTTATGATTACCTCCTCTTCCCATCTAAGTAGCTCGTGTCATTCCCCTTCTTAGCCATCCACCGCCACATTCAAATCTGATATTACAGTGAGATAATGTATCTCCCGGGCTGTTTTAAAACATATAATATCCTCCGAACAATGGCCTTTCGGCTCCCTCTATTTATCACCAGACAAAATGGTGCTAAAGCACAGCATAGTGGAAAGGGGCTTTGACAGGGATAGGAGCATTGGTGGTAGCAATTGGTGGTTTAGAGAGTGTGGCAAAAATGCCTCTGCCACGTGTTCTTGGAGGGGCCTGCTTGCCAGCCTCCTGCCAAAAGACTATAGGCCCTTTAAAAAGTTATGTGATTTATGTACTTTTGTACTCCAGAAGGAGAGACCGACTGTTGGCCGTAATTCCCTGGAACTGTTTTGGGCATAGGACCATGTGCACTGTCGGTCAAAATTATGACTACCAGGAAATTCCTGAACCCCTGAACTGATCTGGGTGATTTTGGATATGTTGGTCACCCAGATCCTGGCTATCAGGGGGTGTAACATTTGTGGGGTTTTATGTATATTTAGGGTACTTTTGGGGTGTTTTAATAAAGTATGTTTTTTCTGTGCTTGGAGATAATTGGATTATAATAAATTCAGTTACTAATCCAATTATCTCCCAGGCAAAGGGGAGGGATTGTGTGCTGTGTGTGGGACTATCATGCCTTGAGAACTTAGTGTTATGGGTCTGTGAAGTCGCAAATCAGTCTACCTTCAGGTCCTTGCATGGGGATTGTCATATAAGGCCAAGTGTGGCTCCCATTAAACTGAGATTAGTTTACCCCTTCATGAATTCTCGGCTCATGTTTGGGGGATTGGAGAACTATATTCACTCTGGGGAATGCTATAATCACAATACTCCCCTACATAGATTCACTAGCTCTTATAATAGCTGTTCTTGCTATGCTCTCTGGACTAGGAGAGGTCTACCCACTGAAAGCTGGATCCAGGTCTTAGGTGGGTGGGCGGGTGGGGAACAGCGAGGTCCCCCCATTTCCTCTCACTATATTACAGGTATATAGAATGCAGTGTTGCCCCCCCCATCTCCTGTCACTGTATTATAGGCATGTAGTGTGGCAAAGATGCCTCTGCCATATGTTCCTGGAGGAGCCTGCTGACTAGCCTCCTGCCCAAGGACTATGGGCTATGTTAAAAGACCTGTAAAAGGACTTGGTTCATGTGGTTTCCCTAGACTGTTCGGGAACTGAACAAATCTGTGAACTAAAGACCACCCAGGAGCTTGTTAAACCCTATTGACACCTTGTAATGATTCTCACTGCAGTGTTCTAATGGTTCATCTGGGTGGCCGCCATTTATACGCATGAACACGTAGTGACGGCCATCTTGTTTGCACGAACACAGGCAGCAGTTGTTGGTCATCGAGTGCATGGAACTAAAGTCAGACACTCGACATCCCGAACACCGCTGAACTTCCATCCGCACCTGCGTTCGGTTCAGTACATCCTAGAATAGCACTGTTCAGTGGAATCGTTCATATGGCCTAGGGGAACAAGCTCCATGTTATGACTATGGACTACGTTCAGTAGTTTATTTGTTTTTGTACTCCCGAATGAGACCGACCACTACCACTGATTCCATGAAACTGCTTTGGGCAGGAACCTCGTGTGCGTTAGGTCAAAACTTTACCCCGGTGGTGTTTCGGCTGTATTCATGGCATTTAAGCGCTCTTTGGATATGTTGTGTGCTCAGATCCAGGCTATCCGGGGATATAAAACTTGAGGGGGTACATGGTTGTGTTATGCATATTTTTGGATGTTATAAATATTATAGATTCTTCTGTACCTGAGAGATAAATGAATTATATATTTTTCCCAGGTAATTATCTCTCAGGTACAGAGGATCATGGGAGGGATTACCCTGTTATTTCGTGTGGGAAACCCCTTGTGGGGACTTTTGCATAAAAGGCCGTGTGTGGCCCTGAATAAAACAGTCTACTCCCAGCATTCAGCCTAGGCTCATGAGTGGGGGGAACTTGCTATACCTGCCATACTCTCTGAAGGGGAGGTCTACCCATTGGGAGCTGGATCCAGGACTTGGGTCCAGGGTGGTGGGAGACAGTGAGACCCCAGCCAAGCTGTGGCAACTAGGGGCTGGAAGTGCTTATGGTGTCTCGGTACAGTGCTTATGGTACTCAGTGATTAGTAGAAAGCGTGAATTGACAGAGGTACCCAGTCAGGGTACCAGGTGGTATGCCACATGTAGAATGCAGACTGTATTTTAGGCATGTAGAATGCAGGTACTGTGTGTATGTGCTGGTAATGTACGCACGGCTCTGTGAATGTAAGCTGTGCTTTGTGACTGGTAATGTACGCAGACGCAGTGCTGTATGATTGTTATGGTACTTTACACAGTTCTGTGTGAATGTTCTGGTAACGTACACATGGCTGTGTGAATGTTCTGGTACTGTACGCAGTGCTGTGTGAATGCTCTGGTAATATAAGCTGTGCTTTGTGACTGTTTGGTAATGTACGCAATGTTCCTCCCTTCACAGTAAGACGTGTGGAAATTTGTCTCCCTTAGTAAATGTCCTCTTTTCAAGTGTATAATTATAGGGAGGTTATAAAATAATGGGCTTTACTTCCTGTTTGTATTATCAGAATTGGAATTCGCTGCTGCTAAAACCGCTATTTGAGCTTACTGATGTGCATGATGTTTCTCCATAATGTGCCTCATTTAGGAAGTAGATTTGATTAAAACTTCAATTAGTTCTGCCAGTAATGATTAATTATACCGTAAAATGTCTCCACATTAATACTATATGTAATATACAGTTGTAAGAAAAAGTATGTGAACCCTTTGGAATGATATGGATTTCTGCACAAATTGGTCATAAAATGTGATCTGATCATCATCTAAGTCACAACAATAGACAATCACAGTCTGCTTAAACTAATAACACACAAAGAATGAAATGTTGCCATGTTTTTATTGAACACACCATGTAAACATTCACAGTGCAGGTTGAAAATGTATGTGAACCCTTGGATTTAATAACTGGTTGAACCTCCTTTGGCAGCAATAACTTCAACCAAACGTTTCCTGTAGTTGCAGATCAGACGTGCACAACGGTCAGGAGTAATTCTTGACCATTCCTCTTTACAGTTCAGCAATATTCTTGGGATGTCTGGTGTGAATCGCTTTCTTGAGGTCATGCCACAGCATCTCAATCGGGTTGAGGTCAGGACTCTGACTGGGCCACTTCAGAAGGCGTATTTTCTTTTGTTTAAGCCATTCTGTTGTTGATTTACTTCTATGCTTTGGGTCATTGTCCTGTTGCAACACCCATCTTCTGTTGAACTTCAGCTGGTAGACAGATGGCCTTACGTTCTCCTGCAAAATGTCTTGATAAACTTGGGAATTCATTTTTTCCTTCGATGATAGCAATCCATCCAGGCCCTGACGCAGCAAAGCAGCCCCAAACCATAATGCCCCCACCACCATACTTCACAGTTGGGATGAGGTTTTGATGTTGGTGTGCTGTGCCTTTTTTTCACCACACATAGTGTTGTGTGTTTCTTCCAAACAACTTAACTTTGGTTTCATCTGTCCACAGAATATTTTGCCAGTACTGCTGTGGAACATCCAGGTGCTCCTGTGCAAACTGTAAACGTGCAGCAATGTTTTGTTTGGACAGCAGTGGCTTCCTCTGTGGTATCCTCCCATGAAATCCATTCTTGTTTAGTGTTTTACGTATTGTAGATTCGCTAACAGGGATGTTAGCATTTGTCAGTGACTTTTGTAAGTCTTTAGCTGACACTCTAGGATTCTGCTTCACCTCATTGAGCAGTCTGCGCTGTGCTCTTGCAGTCATCCTTACAGGACGGCCACTCCTGGGGAGAGTAGCAGCAGTGCTGAACTTTCTCCATTTATAGACAATTGGTCTTACCGTGGA